TTATTAATATCATTGAAAACGGTTGTAGAAACCGTTGTTTGAGAGGAAGGGTTGTCCAAATAGTTTTTTCCTATGTAAAACCATTTGTCCTATTTTTGTTCGTGATTTTTTGATAGTAGTATTTGAAGTCCTCAAACTAAGAACAAAACAAGAAGTTATTTCAGGTGGACAAGCTTTTTTTCCCCTCTTTCTTTACTTTTATATATTATTATATCTGCACATTATTTTGATATGTAATATAATGGATCATATTCATATTTAGTTTCAAAATCCAAATAACGACTGAGCACCCTGTATTTTTTTTTTTTAACTTCAATTTCATGGATTTAGACTTCCTTTCCTCAATGTAATTATAAGCATATTTCCAGATATTGCTTGTATGAAAGGCCTAGGCAGATAGTTAGAATTGTTATCACTAATGCAATACGAGAGAGCTAAGTCATTAAAAAAAACGTGTAATTAGACTTGAGAAAGTACATAATTAATCGAAATATTGATGAGATATTTGTCTATACAGTTTAATTTGCAAAGATGCAAGGTTTTGTGAGAATACAGTACAAAATTCATTAGTTACAAGGTTAGCATCTTGATTAATGATTAACACCATGTTCTAGATAATGTAAAGAATCATGTATGACAAACTATTATCAAATCTTAACTTATTTAATTTAGATGTAAATAAATATATTAACAAAATATATAATCTTAATTTTTTTTATGTCCCCCATATAAATAAAATGGATTTCATATATTGGCTAATGATCGAAGAAGGTAGGATAACAAAATGAACTAATTTGTTTTATTTTGATCTGTCTCACTTCTAATGTAACGAGTGAGACGAGTTGACCCACCATAATTAGGATACGCTACACACTCTAACATGTTCGCTAAAGGATAGATTGACAGATCAATGATTAGTTTGTCAATAATTCTTTTATATGTATTTTTTAAAATATACCTTTAATTATATAAATAATTTTTAAGTTTTTATTTATTAATTAATATTTTTATTAAATAAATTGAAAAAAATACTATATTTACATATTAAAATAACTAAATATAATCAATAATTTAAACTTAATTGATTAGTTTTAATAATTTAAATTATAATATTATAGTATATACATATTTTAATAACATAACACAAAAAATTTGTAATATCTTTAATTATAATTTTTTTTATTTTAATTATATATATATATATATATATATATATATATATATATTATTAAAGTGAGCTTGTGGTCAACCCGTCCTGTTTCATTCTTGGCCCATTAATTAACAAGCTAGGTGAGACGGACCAAAACAAACTGACAGACTAAAATTACAAACTCCTAGCCATTTTTGAGGCAGGCTAGCCTAATCCTTTTTGTCATCCCTAATGAAAAGGTTTTAAGAATAACCTTACTAGTTATCATATCTATAGTAAGCTCAAAAGAAAATCCATTTGAACAATACCAATTTCTCAATTAGGAAATGTGGCATATTGTCAAATAGACGACTAGATCCTATCTTTCAGGTGAAATAAGTGGTTTATTATTTTGTAACATGATTTTATGAACTAGTGTTACAAGTAAAGATGAGAGTTGTTTAGGACAATGAAAAATTAATGTCCACCCCCACTTATGATAGGCTAGAGTAGACCATAATAGGAGAAACATCTTCTAGTGCTTCTAACCAATCTAATATAAGTATGATTTCTCCACCTCCTCCTCGTGATGATAAATGAAAGAGAGCACGTCAAAACCATACTGGGAGTGCACATCTCGAAGAAGCTTGGACCATAGTGAATGTAAGTATTTTATTTTTATATGTTTATTTTATTATTACATTTGAGACGTATTTGCTAATATGTGTATTCAAATATTTGTGTTTTAAGATCAATTGGTGAAGCAAAGTACACAAGGATTATTTATTCCACAAGAGCGTGAGGATATTGGTTGTTGCCACTAGTAGGACTGTCAAAACGGGTGACTCAATTTGGCCTGGCCTAGCCCTACAGGCTAAGTTAAAAAAAATCTAATGGCACAGACTCGCTTATCTTTTAAAATGGGCCAAAATTTTTTGTTTAGCCGGACCCTATATTAAACCAATGGACCATTTTTGGCCTAATTAAAAATAATTTTTTATTTATATAATTTATTTTAATTTTGTTTTAAAAAAATATGTCATTTATTTGTTTATTAAAATTACCTCATAACCTATTTAGGTTAATAAAATCAAATGTATAAAATCATAAAAATGAGTTGTTATATGTAGCATTGAGGAATTAGAATTATCCATATATTAGAAGTCAAACATATCCTACCAAAAATATTAGATAACACATCTTTTAGTTTTTTAAATACACGTTATAAATCTCTTTCCGAAATATTAGATAATACATCTTTTAGTTTTTTTCTTTTTTGTTAAATACACGTTATAAACTTCTGTAATTGAAGTATTTTTAATAATTGGTTTAAAATCATGACTCAAAATTTTATTTACCTCCCAAACTTCCTCATACTCAACATAGTTAAATTGAAGATCATGTTTAATAATGCATCTAACAAGTACATCTTTCTAAATTTTAGAGTCGAATTTTCATTTCTTCAATAAGTTAACCTTATTATCCAATATAACTCTCACATCATAATACTTTGGAAATACATTATATTTAAGAATATATCATCTTAAATTATTGATACTTAAAAGGAAATGTGACAATAGAAGGAAGAAAATGACTAAAGTAAATGAAAATTATGTTTCGAGTTTATTATTCTTTCTAAATTATATATATAACAAAATATATTATCAAATTAATTTATTGTGCATATATTTTCTAATAAAATAATTTCACTTTTATTTTATTGATAAAATAATTATTATTTTATAAAACGGATCAGTCCATAAGTCGATGGGCTAGCCTGGCCTAAGCCCATTTAGGTTTGACCTAAATAGATCGGGCCAAAATTTGTCTAGTTCTATTTAGGCCATAAATTTTTGGCTTAGTCTAGCTTACATTTCGGGCCTTTCGGGTTGGTTCATCGAACTAAGCCTATTTTGACACTTTTAGCCATTGGTCATCCAAAGCACTCAGGGTGTGTTTGTGTTGTTGGACGAGAGGCGGGTATTTGACAATTCTTTAGTGATCCATCTTAACATATTGAAAAATCACAACTCAGTGGCGCCCAAAAGAATTATCTCAAAAATGAGCTTAAGAGTAGAGTTAATGTTGGACATGCGAGCAGAGTTAGCATCCATGAGAGTCTCCACTCAACCTTCTACTACCCCTTTGCTTCCACATGTTAACCTCGACAAATAAAGGGAAACTGGTCTTTAATACTTCTATTAATTGTGAGTTGTACATTGATTACCCTTGCTAAAACTTGATTGTCTGAGTTAATATTACTATGATTATATTTTTCATTAGCATTTGATCTATTCTAATTAAACTTATGTGTTTACTTTAGATAAAATTTATAAATTGGGGTCAATCATTCACCACCAAACGATTGAATACAACATGATACGAGTGGTCGTTGTAAGTGTTTGAGATGCTACTAGTTGAGTCCCTATGCCCATTGACGTGGTTCAAATAGTTGCACAAGTACTATGACATTTTATTTTTTAACCGATTAGACTAGGAAAGTTGATTATAGCAAATGTAAGTTAACTTATTAAATTTAATTATGTATTTTTTTTCTTTACATCATTTAATGAGTTAAATATATGCACATTATTAAATAGGATAGTTCTAATAAACAAAGAGAAGTTGTTTGAAATTCAAAATCGTAATTGTCTCGTACGCTAACGACTTGATGAAATTGTAGTAATTTTAAGGAAGTGACCTGTACATCGATATGCCGCAGAAGTAGTAGGCAAAACTAATATCTTCCTTTCTTTAGTTGTAAGATATCTTCCTTTCTTTAGTTGTAAGAGAAATTTGTTTGATATTCTTAGTGGTATTAATCTACTATGTGTATAATACAACTTTGGTCGTTGTAAATATATTTCTATTATTTTTTTTAATACATTCAATATGTTATTATAACATTATTATTTTTAATATATAAGGTATTTACATGCGAGAGGAAGAATGGTTACATTTATCGATTTATTGACCCTATTATCATTCAAAGCACATGGAATAAAGTTAGTGTGAAATCATATTTGATACAAACATTTCAAAATTTAGGTGAAGAATTGTATTTAGCACTTTACTTGCATCAATAAGTATATAATTTTTCCTTGACAATTATTTATATCTTTTAATTGATACTTTCACTATTAGAAATATAATAGACTCGTAATTTTCTTATTCAACTATATTTTCTTTGTTATATATATAATTTAATATTAATAAATTAAAATATTTAATAAAATTTAATTCACATTATTTTATTTAGAGCTATTGATGCACATATGATGAGACTGGGTTTCCATAAGTTGTTAGAAAAATATTTCAATATATTATACTTAATGTAGGTTATTTGTTTGATTCTTATTCAATTATTTAAATAACATATATATTTAATTATTTATTTTATATTTGTAGTGTCCATGTCAATAAGAAAAAAATCATAAGGATATATTATATGATGAAATACATACACATATAATCATTTATGCTAACATTATTTACTATTTGAAAATGATAATATAAGATAACTAAGCCAAAACGTGAACTCACACCTAAGTTTTTTTATTTATTGATTAAATCATGTTAATTTTGTAGATATTCCATTATTTATATCATCATTGAAAGAAAAAGGCATAGAAGATAATTTCTTATTTTTTTAATAAATTGTATATTGTTTTAAATTAAAATAATGTAAATTAAGTAATTATATAGTTAATATTTTTTATATACTTTTGTATATTATTATTGAAGATATTATGAACTAAATTTATTTTTCAATCAGTATACCATTTTACTTTTTATATATTTGTTATGTAAAGAGATAAAAGTATAAATAAGAAAAAAAGTATTTTAAAAAAATTGTAATTTCCTATTTGATTTAAACTCCTATTTGAACTCCTCCAATCTCAACCCCTCCATGGATATCCCTACTTTCATTAAGAGAAAATGCTTCCTCTCCTATTGAACTAAGATCCACCTTCTTTGGCCTTCCACACCCAAAATCAATATTGTAAACCTCAAACCTAGGAAATCCAACAATAGATATTCTACCCTCCATAAATTCATTCATATCCGAAACCCATCTTTCTGCTCCATTTAACACTCCTTCATCCTTACTCTGTTCAGAGCCTCACTTATCCCCTCCAAAGCACAAATGAATCCATCATTTCCAACCAACTCCTTAGTCAAAGCCACAACCATACGTGGCGGGAATTGTGTAAACTCTCAAGTATGCACACACTCACGCTTTTGTTAATCTGAATCCCCTGATTTGAATTATCAGGGCTGTTTCTTTATTAAATAGATTTGTAAAATAACTGCTTCCATGATCTGCCGTGATCTATGGGCAGTTTGCAGCAAACAAAGTGGCTAATATTTAGCCTCCATAACCCTGGGTTTTCGGTCAACATAGGACCGATTATTATGCCATAAAAAAACAGAACAAATAAACTGCAAAACTTAAACATAAATACTAACAATCCCTCCCTTAAACTAGAGTTTAAAACAAACTTTAGTTTACTTTACTTCTGATGCTTCAATCATGCCTAACATACGTCTGATCTTCATGAATTGCTCCAACTTGAGTGGCTTTGTCATTATATCAGCTATTTGACTTTGGGTGTTGCAGTAACTCAGCTTAATCTTCCCTTCTTTGACTAGATCTCTTAGAAAATGAAATCTAACATCAATATGTTTACTTCTTCCATGGAATACTGGATTTTCTGATAACTTAATAGCAGAATTGTTGTCACACAGAATGAGAACCTGTGTTTGTTCTTTAAAACCAATGGTTTCCAAGATCCTCATTATCCAAATGCATTGGCATGCACATGAGGCTGCTGCTATGTACTCTGATTCTGTAGTAGATAGTGTCACTATTGGTTGTTTCTTGGATGACCATGAGACTGCCCCGGTTCCTAAAAAGAAAACAAGTCCTGATGTGCTTTTTCTGTCATCTATATCACCTGCATAATCACTGTCTGTATATGCCACTAATGTTATATCTTCTCCTTTCTTATAAAATATTCCAAGCTCAGTAGTTCCCTTTAAGTACCTTAGTATTCGTTTGATAGCACTCCAATGTATCCCTGAGGGATTAGTCATGAATCTGCTAAGTAAACTCACCGCATACATTAGATCAGGTCTTGTTGCAGTCAGATACATAAGGCTTCCTACAGCTTGTTTGAAAAGAGTGTTATCTGCTTTAGGCCCTGTATCTGTTTTGGCTAGTTTAGTACCTGGAACAATTGGATTTTTCACTGCATTGCTCTCCAACATGTTAAACCGAACTAGAACTTCATGTGCATACTTCCGTTGACACACAAAAATGCCGTGTAAACTCTGCAACACTTCAATTCCCAGAAAATACCTCATTTTCCCCAAATCAGTCATGTCAAAAAACGTCATCATGGACTCTTTGAACTCATCACACATGCCTTTATCATTTCCAGTGTAAATTAAGTCATCTACATATAGACTTACAATGAGAATTTTACCTTCCTTTGCTGACTTTGTGAACAAAGTGTGTTCACAGAAACATCTTTCGAAGCCATTGTGCAGGAAGTATGCTTCTATTTTATTATACCAAGCTCTTGGTGCTTGTTTGAACCCATAAAGTGCTTTCTTCAATCTGTACACCTTGTCTTCCTGCCCCTTTTCTATAAATCCATCTGGTTGCTGAACGTATATGTCCTCTTTCAAGTCTCCATGGAGAAATGCACTTTTAACATCAAGTTGAAATATGATCCAGCCATTATGTGCTGCCATAGATAAAATTATGCGAATGGTATCTAATTTTGCAACTGGTGCAAACACTTCAGTGTAATCTACTCCATAGTGTTGTGCATAGCCTTTAGCTACTAACCTTGCTTTAAATTTGTCTATCTCACCATTTTCTTTGAGCTTGGTTTTGTAAATCCACTTTACTCCAATCGGCTTTATTTCTCTAGGAGCATAAGTTAATTCCCAGGTTTGGTTCTTTTCTATAGCCTCTATCTCTTTAGCCATCGCTTCTCTCCATTTCTTGTGCTTACGAGCTTCTTCAAAGGTTATTGGATCTGTGTCTGCAACCAGCATGGCACTGGTGTTGTTGTCACCCTGTATACTTCCTCCTTCTTCATAATCTGCCATCCACACAGGTTTCCTTCTATTTCTTTTTTCCCTCCCTGCAGTTGGAATCTCACTGGTTTGGGTGGGAGTTTCGTTTCTGTGCGTTGGTTCTGCTGCCGATTGTTGTTCCTCTATTTCAGATTGTGTGTCACTGTCTTCATCTTCTGTCTCATCAGTTTCTTGATGGCTCACTGCTTCATTCTGCTCCCACTGCCATCTTTTATCCTCTTCAAACACAACATCCCTGTTGATTATTATTTTCTTGTTGATTGGATCAAACAGTCTATAGGCCTTGGATTCATTGCTGACTCCGAACAGGACACACTGTTTGCTTTTGTTATCCAGTTTAACTCGTTGCTGATCTGGTGTATGAACATGAGCTAAACACCCGAACACGCGAAAATAACCAACAGATGGTTTTACTCCACTCCATGCTTCCTCTGGAGTTTTATCTTGTACAGCAGCAGTAGGACTCCTATTTAGAATATGTACACACCATTTTGTTACTTCTGGCCAGAAGATTTTTGGAACCTGCCTTCCAATCAGCATAGTGCGGACCATGTTCATAATTGTTCTGTTCTTCCTTTCAGCAACTCCATTCTGTTGAGGCGTATAAGCAGCAGTCAGTTGTCTTTTAATTCCTTGATTTCTACAGAAAACTTCAAATTCTTTAGACAAGAATTCTCCTCCTCTATCTGTTCTTAGACAGATTATGTTTTCTCCCACTTCCTTCTCAACCAATGTCTTAAAGCTCTTGTTGCTGTTCGAAGTTGGTGAAATTGGTCCGCATAAGTCTGCATGTATCAGCTGCAGTTTCTTGGTTGCTCTCCAAGCACTTGTCTTGGACATGGTGTTTCTGTGTTGTTTTCCTGCCATGCATTGTGCGCATATACCTTTTGAAGCTGTAATCTGAGGCAAACCTGTTACCATTTGTTTAGAGGCGAGGGTGTTTAGACCATCATAGCTTAGATGTCCGAGCCTCGTTGTGCCACAGCTGAGCATTGTTTTCTGCATTCACCCGGAGACACGCATCCGCTTCCATGGTTGCCGTTAGCACAAACATCCCGCTAGCATTCATTTGAACCTCACATATTACTCCTTTCTGCGAATGCATAATAGTGCAAGCATTATTCTCGAATTCCGATACTCAGTCCCTTTTGTTGCAGCTTGTCCAATGCTCAATAAGTTATTTTTGAGTTCAGTGGACATAGTATACATGTGTGATAACATGTATTAAGCCATTCACCTTCATTCGAATGCTTCCTTTCCCCATTACAGCCTATGTGTGTGTCGTTTCCCAGCCTTCACTTTGCCTCGAAAATTCTCATCTAATTCGGTAAACCATCCTTTGTTACCACTCATGTGGTTGCTACATCCAAAATCTAAGAACCACTCCTTTTTCTCCCCTTCATTAGTTTCGTGAGAGCCATCAGTAAAATCTCCTCCTCTCGGTTCCTCTTTATTTTCAATTTCGCATAATTGACTCTCTTTTCCCACATAGGACATTCCCATTGAAAGTGTCCAAGTTTATGGCACTTGAAGCATTCGATCTCATTCTTGGAAATCGTTTGTCTTCCCCTTCCTCCGCCACGAAAAGCTCCCTGCGTTCTCCCTCTCCCGCGTCCTCTTCCATCTACAATTGTTTGCATAACCTGTTCTTCTTCAATTGAGTGTGTCATTCTCTCGCTCATGCACCAACAGATCGCTTTGCAACTCATCTATAGTCATGGTCTCCATGTTGTTGGATTCTTCAATTGAACACACTACATAATTGAATTTAGCCGTCATAGACCGTAGTATTTTTGCGGTTATGACGCTTTCTCGCATCTGTTCTCCCACCGCTTTCATTCCTTTGGCTATTATTAAGGTGCGACCAAAGTATGAAGTCACCGATTCTCCTTCCTTCATTTGTAGTGTCTCAAAGTCTTTGCGGAAAGTTTGCAATTGAGCACGTTTCACTCGTGTGGATCCCCGAAACTTTTGCTTCATGGAATCCCATATATTTTTGGAGGTCTCATCATTTAGAATTGTATCTAAAATCTCTCTCGTCAATAGATTGATAGAGATAATTTTTCACCTTCAAATCCTTAAGTTGTTGCTCTTCCAGATCGTTTAAATTCTCGCTTCACTAGCTTTGTCCGAAATTGCATCAACACCCTTTTCAACCAAACTCCAATACTCCTTGGAGCGTAGGAAATTCTCCATTAGCTTTGCCCAATGATCATAATGGCCATCAAACTTTGGAATGGCAGGTTGGACGTATTTATCGGATTCAACCATCTCAAATAATGCGTCTAGAAGAACTCAATATATCACTCTTATCTAACCCAACTCAGTAAAAGCAGATCACTCTTAGTGTTTTTCTCTTTCCCACACTTACGAAAAAGTCTCTCTCTTTTTCTTGGTTCAGGCCCCTGTGAAGGAGCTCTGATACCAATTGTAAACTCTCAAGTATGCACACTCACGCTTTTGTTAATCTGAATCCCCTGATTTGAATTATCAGGGCTGTTTCTTTATTAAATAGATTTGTAAAATAACTGCTTCCATGATCTGCCGTGATCTATGGGCAGTTTGCAGCAAACAAAGTGGCTAATATTTAGCCTCCATAACCCTGGGTTTTCGGTCAACATAGGACCGATTATTATGCCATAAAAAAACAGAACAAATAAACTGCAAAACTTAAACATAAATACTAACAAATTGGAGGGTCCAAGCGTGATCTACAGTCAAAATAAAATATGAAACCCACGGTATCTTCTTTCACTTGTCTCACTTTGACCAAACACGCCAACACATAAGCACACGTAACAGAAAATGTTGACGGATGAACATTCACTTTCACCTTAGAGTTTGCATGTAGTTTGAGCTTTAGAATCTGTGAGGGGGTTAATTCAAACAAACCTTTGAGTCCATCACTCAGCTTTGGAGTAACAACATTGAAACTTCGGTCATTATGATTCATCCACGTGTCAACATACACTTCAGCAATTCCAGAAGGTTCTATTATCAATGATCTGTCAAAGAAAGGTGTACGATGCTGAGGTAAGGATGGTGTTGGTGTTGGTGTAGGTGTATTAGGGTTTTGAAGATTAGAGCATATAGAGGCCCATGATTTCATGAATCATGAACATGGTTGTAGATTTTTCGTCAACAGCTGCATGGTGTGTGTTTATTCCAATGCAAAAGCCAGCGTTTGGGAACACAGTGACTTGAATTGCCAACAGACACTACTAAAAATTCTCATTTTTTATGGGAATATTTTTGTAAAATTTTTATAAAAATTGTAAGAAATAAATTTTCTATAAATTTAAACAATTTTTTACAAGAAATTGACAGAAAAAAACTAGTTTTCTAGTAGTGAGAGATGCTTTATCATGGGAAATGGCGAAGTCGGGTGACAAACCGTGTTGTTTTGATGCTTCACAGAGATGGGAGCAAAGATGGTTGAAGTTTTGGTTGGATTCAGAGATAGTGAAGGAAACAGTGTCACGGGTAGATAGTTGATGATGGGTTCGGGAGAGTGAGAGGGCCATGTGAGGGTGCCAGCAGATGGAAGAAAGTGTTGGAGAATGAGGGAAGGAGAGTGTTTGAGAGAAGGAACAAGAGAATGGAGGAATGAAGAGATTGGGTGGGAAAAGGGATAGAAGTAGAGACATTTTACGGGTGGAAAGCGCAGCCATAAGAGGTCAAAGAACGTTTGTTAGTGGAAGAGAGGTTGGAAGGATGGCGGAAATGGATGCGACGGTGATATGAGCATCAACATAGGTAAGGATATACTAAAAGACTTGGAAGACCTATAACAAAAACTAGAATAAAGGAAGCAAAATAAACTCTTCAATCAATGTTATAAACTCATATTTAAAGAGAAAAGATAAAAGTTGTTAATTACATCATTGTCATCATTGTGCAAAAGAAGGAGGACTAATATAACAATTTGTTTCAGGTTTGTTTAAATAATGACTCAATCCTTTATAAAATTGGCTGACTAAATTATATTTTAGGTTAATCAACTAATGATTTTTAGTTTGATGTTGTTTCAAGTTATAATAAAGATTCAATTAGAAACTTAGACATCAGCTCTAGGAGATTAAGAGGATACATAACTGATTGAATTTTGCTTAGCACAATTTCAATTATAATAAGTCATTAAGTAGTTTTCAATTCCTAAGTTAATGGATCATTATTAATATTTATTTGTCTCCATTAAGTAATTTTTAATTTCTAGGTTAATGGATCATTATTAACATTTATTTGCCTCCATTAAGTAGTTTTCAATTCCTAGATTAATGAATCATTATTAACATTTATTTTCCTTTATTTAATTTTTATAAATATGATGGTAAAGTTTCTAGGGATGGCAAAACGGGTCAACCCGCCCATTTTGGCCCGCCAAAAGCGGGCGAGAGCGGGCTGGCTTGTTATAATCATGACGGGTTGTAGACCTTGGCTCGCTCCGCCAAGGGGCGGGTTGCGGTCGACCCACCATAATTTAGAAAAAAATAATTTATTTTTAAAATACATTTTTTTAATAAATTTAATAATAAGATTATTATTTGTTTGTCAATAATTCAATATATATATATATATATATATATATATATTATTTCAATTTAATAATATAAATCAATACATTGTTTTAAGAAATTATAATTTAGAACAATAATAAAATTTACATAATAATAAATAATAACAAATATATATATATATATATATATATATATAATGTTAAAACTTATAAAATTTATATTTTTATATTGAAAAATTCAAATACCTATATCTTTTTTATTTGATAAAACTTCACATTATTCTTGATTAAGTAATTTTTACACCTTTAATTCAAGTCATAAGGATAAAATATAATCAGTGCTTAGGATGAACAAGGAGAACATGAGAGAGAAGGTTATGTTTTAGTAATGAGAACATTTTCTGTGAGAGTGAAACTTTTTTAATTCTCTTTTTAAAAATTTTAACTTTATATATTATTTTTATAATTAATTTTATTATAATTAAAAATTATTTTTTTATTAATTAGGCGGGTCGCGGGTCGGTCCGCCCTATCTCGTGGGCAGTGGCGAATCTTGACCATTGATCTTGGGGGGCCAAATAATATATTATTAATAAATAATAAATAAATATAAAAGAAAGAAGATGAAAGGATAAAATTCTAGATATATACTTACATATATTAAAAGATCATTAAGTTTGAGGAAACAAAATCATAAATTATATGAGAGTTACAAAACTGAGGAGAGGCTGAGAGGATAAAATTGTAAATATACAAGTAAATATATTAAATGTTCATTATGTTTGGGGGGCCAAAATCATAAATTACATGGGAGTTACAAACCTTTGGGGGGCCACGGCCCCCTCAGCTCCCAAGAAGATCCGCCACTGCCGCGGGTTGGCCCAGCGGGTTGGCGGGCTTGACGGGGCGGGGCAAAGTGGGCTGGTGAGCTGAAAACACCAACCTGCCCCGCCATATTATGGTGGGCTGGCGGGCCGACCCGCCGGGCCTAGCCCGTTTTGCCATCCCTACTTCTATATAAGCTGAACCATTTTTATCAAAAATACAAGTTGAGTTTTATTCATAACTATTAGAGTTTAACTTTTGTATCTTGGCGTTTTGAGTTATTCAAGAACCATTGGCTATATCAAAATAGTTTTACATCCTTTATGAGTTTCCTCCCTTGGAAAGAGTGATTCTTTCATTCGACCTTTCACATTCACCTCTTGTCTTTTTTTTTACCAAAACCCATAAAACTCAATTCTGCCCAGGTTTATTTTATGGTCATAACTTTCGTTCTACTCGTCGAAATTGAGTGTTTTATGAGTCTAAATTGAATTTCAGAACAAGAACTTTCACCTCATTTTTGAATCACTTCAATCGGAGTTTTATACCTTGAAATATCGACATTTCTAAAATTCTGCCAAACCCTGAAACTTTCAATACTTTCTAACCCACCTTCTCACATTTCCTATAAAATTCTAACCCTAAAGATCCTAAGTTAGCTCTTGTGCAAATGAAGTTCATATCAGATTAGTTCTTGAAGTACTGCCACTGAACAAACTTGGATAATTTTGAAAGGTGTTGATGATGCTTGTTCAGCCATTGGTGAAAGAAACAGAGAAGTGGTGGAGTTGGAAAGAAAGTTATGTGTTATGTAGTGATGACACAGTGTTTTGAATGAGTTTTATACATAATTTGTACTTTTTCTATTTTAAATGATTATAGTTTTTATGAAATTAATATAAATATTTTTTTTACAAATAATAGTAATTATATATATATGATTTGAGGAAACATGATGAATAAACCATTATAATTAAAAATTAATTTAATGATTTTGAGAGGAATCCTAAAAGTGTTCTCAATATTCTCCCTGGAAACTTCGAGTCATGTCATCTTCTATAGATGCCACTAAACTTGATGAAAAAGTAATGTTATTTTGTCCCTAAAAAACCTGCAAAATACATGAATATCTAAGCCTTATGTCAGTTGTAGTAACATTGTTATAAACAATTTTCACGTTCGGAGGATATATATGAACTATTATTGACTTCGACTTCTAAATAATATGAGATTCATGAGTGTACCAGAACATAAACTCTTCAATCAAATATTAAGGGGTATGTATGAGTGGAGTAGAGCGAGACTCTACTAACATCGTTAGAGTCTATTCCTACATTCGAGATATTGTCCGCTTTGAAACTCTTGCCAATATTTTATCCTTAAAATGCATCTCGGTGGTGGATTAAGAGAGGAGGGTGTATATGAACTATACTTACCTCGATTCTTAAGCAACGTAAGACTTATGAGCATAATGGAACAATGAGATTACTTTGATAGAGATAAAATAATTAACTTAATTTTATAAAATCAACTTTAATATAATTAAAAAGATATATTACTTAATACAATTAATTTAATACACTAGTATAGAATGGACTTTTTACGTCACCCAGATAACATCGGATCCAAAAATAACCGACTTAAAAATAATGCGGTGACAATTTTGTAAATACTAGATTCAACTTTGACGTTGGACCTAGAAGGGACCGACGTAAAAGTCGCTTTACGTCGGGTGTATAGTGGTCCGACTGACGTAAAAAGTGACTTTTGTTTCGGTCCTTTCTAGGTTTGACATAAAAGTCACGTTGCGCAGTGACAATTTTGTAAATGGTGGATGCGCAATTTACATCGGACCTAGAAGAAACCAATGTAAAACTCACTTTTTACGTCAGTCCCTTCTATGTCCAACGTAAAATTCACATTTTATTCTTTCCAACGCCACTTCTTCATCGTGCACAACAAGGGTTTTTGAGGATCACGACGACAGCGACGACAATGACAATGTTCAACTCCTCTCAATTTACATTTCGACCACAGTGAGTGACGAAAATACTTTCATTGTGTCCCATTTGTGGTGGTGAACATTTCTCTCCGATTGAATTCGAGTTTTACATTTTTTGTATATTTGAGGTTAGTGTTTTATGTGTTTCGTCTCCTCTTTTATGTTGAAATTGAATGTTTCCACTGGATTATTATTGATATTGAATTATTGTAGTTAGTGTTTTATGCGTTTGAATCCTACTTTTTTGCTATTGTTATTGTAATTTGTATATTGGGGGTTTAGGTTGTTGTTGTTGTTTTGTGTATTAAGGTTTTATGATGAAAAGAAAACGAAAAATGTTCGAAGCAAGATTACTTTTGACTCAGATATCGGATTTTGATGCACAACATATCAAAGCGAAGACAAAAAGAGAAGAAGAGAGGGTAAATACCCAATGGGGATTTGTCCTAACAATTTTTCCTAAATATACTCCTAAGCACATGTAATGCACAAAAGTTTGTGCGGGTATAACTAGAGGTAATTGCTTTCAACATTTGTTAAGTTCATTTACCTTTATGTCTATTGCATGTTAACTGAAGTCAAATTAATATTTCAGGTATTTCAACATCCATTCATCTCCATTATCAGAACATGATATTACACAAATTATAGAACAAATAATAAGGTTTTTCGTTCAACATTTCTAGTTTGTTTTGTATTGTTTTTGTATTATATGCTATTGTTTGTTTTGTATTGTATGCTTGTATTGTTTGTATGTTTTGTATTGTATGATATCTGGACTCGCTGCAAAAAACAAAATAAAAACAAAAACAAAATGAAATTTACGTCGGACGAGAGGCATACCTGACGTAAATTTACGTCAGTTACCTCCAGGGTCCGATGTATATTTACATTGACTACCTCTAGGGTCTGATGTAAATTTACATCGGTTGCGCCAGGATCCGACGTAAATTTACGTCGATTATCCCTAGGATTCGACGTAAAAATGTCAAAATAAGAAACGTAAAAGTCTAATTTTGTCCTAGTAATAAAAAATTATTTATTTATATTTTATATAATATTAGTGTATTTCTAATTAGGATTGTCAAAATGGGCAGCCCGACTTCGTCGACCTTACGAGCCAAGTAAAAAATAATTAATTGTCCAACCTGACCTATATTTTAAAATGGGCCAAATTTTTT